TGAAATCCGCTGGGATTAACTGAAATGAGAATGGGACGGAGGTGATGCTGGAAACCAGGTTTCGTGACATACATAAGTGAACACATCACCCACATTCCATCTCTATATCAGGAGGATGTGTAACACATATCATAATACTCATAATAACGGCAGTAACTTTATTTATAAATCCTCTCGCACATAACACAAGGACTTGATTTAGAAATCCTCCTTAATAGGTTTTCGCATTATACACAATCCGTCCCTGCTAACCTGCAAATGAAAGCACTCTGATGAGGAAGCTTTGGCAATACGATTCAGCTGGCATGCTGCAGGGGTGTACTGGCCAGGATTACTCTGCCCGGCACACGATAGATGGAACGCAGCTGATAAGGAGAATGAGAGAGAGAGAGAGAGAGAGAGAGAGAGAGAGAGAGAGAGAGAGAGAGAGAAACAACACACATATGAGAGAGAGAGAGAGAGAGAGAGAGAGAGAGAGAGAGAGAGAATCATGGCACCTATTGACATTCGATTGTTGCTTATGTGGTCACTGGCTGTTTGCCCTGCCCTCAGTTTCTAGCCTGTCTCTTACTGTCTGCATCTCACTGATTTACGAAGCATTTCAGGTCATTCCACAGACCCCATCACAATGTACTGCATTATGGTTTTCCACTGCCAGCCAAACGCTATATTCCAACAGCTTGATCTAATCAGAAACAACACAAAATATTTACTAGTGCAATGCATTAGACCATCAATCAGACTACAAAAACAATACCTGTTTTTATGCATTTTTCCCCATTATTTTTCACAGATTCCTATTCTAATTCCCTTAAATTCTAAACAGTTAAATGAGTGATAAATCAAACAGGCTTATCCTTCAGGAAAGAAGAGAGAAAACCTAGGTGACTAACCCCACCATTTGGAAAAATATCCAGAAAAAACTCTCCCTAAATCAAATTTTCTTATATTGTTTTTTATAATCAGCCAGTGCTTTTCATTGTTGTCGGGGAATTAATCAATGTGGCAGTAAACAGGTTTATATCGGGCTGGTGTTGAAAAAGAAATACAGCTGCTTGTGACCTATAACTATGTACAAATATGTACAAAACACAGAGAGGAACAGGGAGGACAGATAAGAAATAAAGGCGCAGAGCATTCTGGGTCATTTGAAAAATAGATCATTCAAACAATGGTAACAAATGGTTGTCTGTTTTTAAACCCTTTGCATGTAAAATCAAAACAGCTTTTATTAGGCTACTGATATGATTCAATTCCAATGTGGAATTATATGATTTTAAACTGATTTTAAAAGTACTTTTCATTTCTTTACAACTTTTTTGATGATGAAAGAAGTTCAAAGGCTGTTCAAACCCCTAAAGAGTGGGATCTATGATCTAAATCATAACAGGGATCTCTCATCTCCATAGATCCCTGAAATAAGGCCACCGGGCCAGAATGAAAATATATAGTAAGTTGGGTAAAACATGCCTTATATATAATTAGGCATACTAAGTAAGAAAACAAAGGGTACTGTGTTGTATAAGCAGTATAGAGTTGGAAATTTTCCCTTAAACAGGTCTTGAATTCTTTGAGAAGAGAAACCAGCGAAAGCTTGGAGTGAGCTCAGCAGAATTCATGTCAATTACAACGGCTCCTAAAAAATAATCACTGCATTAACCAAAGCCCAAGAACAGACACAGAGTGGTGTGTCAGCTGTGCTCCTGGAAGTAGAGATTGTCAAAATGTCAAAAGCTTTTTCCACATGTTCTTTCTGCATTGTATTTTCCCTAGTGATTGGATTGACTTCGAGTAGTGTGAAAGGACCATACAAAATTACAACTGCCTTCAAGAAGTTCCATTTTGTCCAAGCAGAATGTACTCAGAATTCAGGGCATCACTCATACAATTCTAGTGTAGGTGCTAACAGGCCAGATTATGCTTGGTGCCTGACTAAATCTAATTTATTGGATTTCCCGCTCTTTCTTTCACCCAGTGATGACATTTCTTCTCTATTTCCTAGTAATCACAGTAAGGAGATTGTGGGCTGCTCTGCCTGGCTCCTCAGCCCCTGATCTTCTGGCCCTGATGCAAAGTCATTCTGTTCATAATGAGCACAAGCTTCATTTATTTTGGGCTCATTTCTAAAGACTGCTGACATTTAATGATGTTGTCTTCCTGTTCTTGCCTTTTCTGGAGAACAATCTCTCATTGCGCACATCAGGAGAGAAGTCTATTTTGGAAAATCTAAACAAGAACTAATGGAGAACATGTCTGCTGAATGAATTTGACCAGAAATATGCACAGAATGGTTAGTGTCAGATGTGCAATTTATCATAGGTGTTAAGAGCAAAACATTCAGAATTTTGGACCAGCCGTGATTTTAGCTGGTGGGACCTCAGAGATTTTTGGGAAGCCCGTTGCACAGCTAATGGAATTCAAACAGTTGGAGATCGATTGCAGTGTAAACAATCTGTGCGTTAATCTGTGAACGGTATAGGGCTGCGCACAGCTGGTCTGTCCAACAGATGTCACCTTGCTGAAATCCCACTGTGATAATTCCTCCGATGAGGGCCTTGGTGATTCTCTCATTGCCCAGAGTAATAGCCTGAATGGCCACTGACAGCTGCACATATAGCCACATACCTCTCTGATTTAGGGATAGAATCATTTACTTCACTTACTTGTTGTGATTAATGTGTTTGCAACCATCTGCTGTGTTGTCGTTTTCTTTGTTTTTATAATTTAATAAGTTAATAATGAGGGAATTAAATTTTAGCCACAATATTTCCACTTATTTTTTCTAGATTGCTTCCGTGAATGAAAACACTTCCAAACTAAACCGATGGAAAATCAGATGTTGTGATTATGAGCAACACCCACAACAGTGGTGTTCCTTTCTCAATGAATTAGTTGCTGTATCCACAGTTGAACACAAGAGTTAATCATTATGTGAACAGAGTAGTATGCCCCAATTCAGAGTATTCATAAAACAGGCATTTCTGGCGAGATTATGAAGTGTGCATCTGATGGACACTTTACTATCCCAGGAGGCAAGGGAGAGGATCTGTGAATGGCAGTGAAGTGACACAACTGACGCTTGTAGGTCACATGACAATGACGAATGTAGTACATCCGGATTACATTCATCCTACACACATTCATGCTATACAGAGAAAGGACTTTTTAACGGTCGCTAAAAAGTAACTACTTCAAAATAAGTATGCCTACCTACTCTGAGAGTATGCGATTTTGGACACAGCCAGAATGTTTGAACAAATTGGTTGACTAAATGATTCAATCACTCACGCATTAAGCCAGTCACCTGTTTCTTTCCTGAATTAATCTGTGTTTTAAATGAACAGTTTGAGTGAAAGATTCATTGACTCATTAATAAAGCTATTCACACATTTCGTTTCTAAATTAATCAATGTTTTTGAATGAATTGATTGGCTGAATGACTTAAAAAGGCACTCATAAAGCCATTCACTGTTTTGTTACTGAATGAATCAGTATTTTGAACATATTGTTATATTGAGTGATTTAGTATCTCACTATGTCATCACATGTTTCATTCCCAGTTGAATCAGTGTTTTTGAACAAATCAGTTGGATTAGGTTCACTCAAAAAAGAAACTTGTCGCCACCTACTGATGTATCAATGCAGCTTACAGAAAGAGTCACTGACTGTCTGTCTGTCTGTCTGTCTGTCTGTATGTCTGTCTCTCTGTCTGTCTGTCTGGAACCTGAAAACACAGTGTGATACAAACAGTATCACTTACAGTAGCAGTTTTGGAACTTCACTCTGCAAAATCAAATTCGAAGACCGGGACTAAAGGTTGCATAATGTGTATCAATGTGCAAATAATCTGATGTTTACATAATTGCTTGCTTTGCTACAGTGCTAAAATCAATATTCCTGTGTAGGTTCATGGCAAAAATGTAATAAAGTTGTTGAATGTTTTATATTATATTACTCAAATGACCTTCATGACTGAACACAGTCAAGTATATGAGTGACACTCACAAATACACAGAACCATTTCACCAGATCAGCAAATCTTTGAAGCAGCTGAATAGATCATTCTATTATTACTGTGTTATTTAAAGCACAGGCCTATATCTCACCTTCAGATAGCTTTAAGGGTTGTGGCAGATTTTGACTCGTCATGACAAGACACAAAATTCACCCGCTGCTGGGTGTGTCAGCACCTTCCTGGGCAATGAGACAAGCCTGCAGTTGTGACACGTAGGAGTTTGATTCCACACTATTCTAAGATTCATATGCAAACAAAGCCGTGGGACTGGACTGAATGTGGTAGGTTATGAATTGTGAGGGGACAATATGAAGACCAAAGAACTGGAATATTATCTTTTTTAGTACTTATTTTTAGAACTACTTGGAGATTTTATTTAAATGCAGTTTTCTTTCATTATAAGGTTAGATATTTTTAAGAGAAAACCTACAAACTACAACTACAAATGTTATCTAAATGTCTCTGGAGAGCAAAATAAATGCTTTGGAAGGAATAATTGGATAAAAAACTGTAGATTTTCGCTCTTGACAAGTAAATCATACTGTGTGCAATGCAATTATTCAAAAACAGTTTGCAGATTGGGAAACACCATTATAGTGCCAGGTCTCTAAAAGCAAGAAACAACTATAAAGTGAAGCAAATGATACCTTATTTCATTGTACTGGAGGCCAGAATCTATAAACCACCCATTTTTATGGATCCCAACCTGTAGGCAGTGCATTCTAGTAATCGAGCACTACCGTAATAGGTAATATAGGAAACTGAAAGCTAGATAAAGCAGGAGTCTTGGCCTCTGTGCACTGTTTAATCAGTTCCACACAGAGGGAAGAGTTTGCTCAATCACATACTGTTCTCTCTCCCTTCTGTTCAAAACCTGACCATATGGGAGAGCGGTCTGGGTTAGCACGAACTGACAGACGAAGAGTATGTTTATCTGCCAAATCAGCTCCACATAGTTTAACTGGTTGTTTTGCTGCCGTTACAGGGATAGATGACTGTCTGGGGCAAGACAAGAGCAAAGCAAGTCAAGACGGCTGGTATCTCTCTCCTCCAAACAGAAGAGGGAGACCAAAGGAGGAGTACAGCGGGCAAGAGAAGAAAAGCAAGTCACTGCATGAGGAGTATTCCCACGTGAAGAGGCCAATGTGGGGTTGGAGTCATCTCCATCTCACCTGTTGATTCGTTTCGATCTTGGATGACTTTTAAGAGGGAAAAACCAATTCCCAGTTCATCTGTTTTCTCAAACTCTGGGCTATTATGACTGTGAACTGGGAATAATATATATTTTTTTTTTTATCATCCGTCAAACTTTGTCACCAAGGACCAAATTTCAAAGCAGGGTGATAACCAAGAGAAAAATGTGACAACTTTCATCTCCCCTTTCCCAAGTGACTCAGTTTGATGAGAGTCATTTCCTTCAAATAACTGCAAGAGTAGCTATCAGAATCCTTCCGAACATAACTGCTGCAAAAGATGACATCAAAAAGGAAGCGTATTTCCTAGTACGAAATCTGTTTCTCTCATATTTATGAAAGAGTCTTGCTCTATTTGATCTCAGGGGCCGCATTTGACATGAAGCTATTCTATTTGATTTGTCTTTGATGATTTGATGATCTTCACTGTAGGGTACTAAGTGGCAATGCAGCCATGGAAAGCCTTCCAGAACACTGCGGGAAGGACTTCCGAGTACCCTTTTATTTTTCAGAACGCTGTATTCCATTCCCCGGGCCTGTCAAATGGATTCTCTCTGATCCTGATAGTCCATTGAGGATTCTGTCTCCTCCATCCTATTTCCTTGAGGCCAACAAGACTGGAGGTTTTACGTTGACCTCAGACTGACCTGAGAGCTGTTTCTCCAAACAACAATGCAGAGGATGCTTGGCTTTGACTTCTAATGAGTTAGACATTTATACTTTCCATACTGACAAGTCAGTACCCATCCATATGGAATGTCCGTACAGATACAGGATACACACAATGTGCACAAAATGAGCATTGCAGAGTGAAACTGACCAACTTGGAAACTTCAATTTCATAACTCCAAAGAAACAGATTATTTATCTTAATGCACAATGGTGAAATGGCGCTTATTATTGTTGGACTCTGTATTTGTTTTACACAAAAGATAAACAGGAAAGTACTGCCCAAAGTCTGTATGTTGCTTTGGTTTGTTGAATCTGAGTCAAAATGCCTATTTTGTTTTTGTACAGAGAGCTCAAATATACTTGGTAACACGTTATAATAAGGGTCAATTTGTTCAAAGTGTTTCACAATTCGCATTAGGGATGCATTAACTATCATAAACTAATGATAAACATAATGTATTTATTCATCTAGATTAATGCTAATTTAATTATAAATATATTGACATACAGGTGTCATTACATTGCAACATGTTAGATTTTAACATCAAACTATATTAATAAATGCTGTAAAAATATTGTTCATTGTTAGCTCATGATACCAATGCATTAACTAATGTTGACAGATTATTGTAAAGTGTTACCATGTACTTAACGTCCGTGTTGTATTTTATATTAAATTTTATGGGCAGATTGCTTGTTGTAAATATTACAGCTATATATTATTAAAAATTTTGCCTACATCTTTGTTTACACAAAAGCTAACGGCAATCAAAGATCAGGTGAAGTAGTAAAACGTGTATTATATGAAATATAAAAAAAATATATATATTTTTTTTTGCACTTATTGCAACATGACACACAAAAAGAAAAAAAAAAATCAGTAAATCAGAGGGAGATGCTTTCCACAGAGCAAGTGAATTCATAGCTCCAAGGTTGCATTTTGTACCTCAAGGGAGAATAAGTTGGTTCCAAATGACTAAAACAGTACATTTTTTTGACTGCTGTGTAAGAAGTTAATTTATTTCTAATATAAACTTTGTAATGGACATGCTTTCGGGAAGATGATTTAGTGCGCAAAAACAAACAACCAGAGGCAATTAAAAATGCAAAGCATGAATGCAAAAACAATGTTATTTTAGAAGCGGTTTGGTTGAGACCTACACAGATATTTTGACAATATGGTTTTTCTTTGTGTATTTGTTTTGCTATTGTGATGTGGTGATGCTGTTTTTTCCACATTTGTCACTATTTATAGTCTATGTGCAATTGCATAATTTCTCACTGTAGTTTATTTAAAAGACTCAATGATGCTTGCTGAGCAATGTACCTTACATGCACTCAATAAACATGTCCAGTAAACAGCAGTACTTGAAACTACTATTTTTTAATTATTACTCATTTTACATTAACTTAAATGTTTTTGTGGTAAAAAAAAAAAAAAGCTGTTTAATGAAGGCAGTAATTGACTGTTAGGTTTTTGAACATTTTGAAATATCC